ACATATTGCTCGAGTTGTTGGAATAAGTACTCGCGATCACTAAAATCGTCTACCAAAATTATTTCCTTTATCAATTCCGGAGGCGAACGATTTATCAGGCTGTGAACGGAACGCATAAGCACGCCCAAATGCTCATTGTAGAATGGAATTATGATGCTGACTGACGGCAACTTCGGTAAATATTTCTTTTTTTTGCATCTGTGTACAAGACAAAATAAAAATTTTGCGTTATCAAGCATTAATAAAATTCGCAATAAACTAGTTTTAATGATCAAATCAAACTCACCCTTTATAGCGAATATCGGGAAGGGAACGATTTACCGAAATCGAATCGGAAAGTAGAGCATTAAATCCATTTTCCAGAGACATTTTCTGTTCTAATTCTTTCTGCGATTCATCATTTAGTTCAGCACGCTTGCCTTGTTCGCCCAGTCCAACTCGCTTCTGATCAAACTCCATAGCCAAGTAATCATGCCAGTCTTTTTTCAGATCAACTGGTAACTGCAGCTGTCTATCCTCAGATTTCCGCTCGTTTTGTAATATTGGCAGCATTGGAGCTTCAGCATTGCTCTCTACAACCCCATCCACAAGATTATCCGACATTTTTTTATGCGCCCGTAAATTCGCTGCATGCATTGGCGTCAAAATTGGTAACTTATTGCGATAAGGGCTGGAAGATATCCAGCTTGTAAGCAAAAGAAACAGAATCAGCGACAAGGTCAACAGAATTGCTGCTTTCAAAACCCATTTCATATTTCTTCGACGCATCTTGGTATAAATGCACACGTCGCGAAATCTCGTGGAATGTTAGAACTTCTGATCTACACGCCAACGCGGCGAAATAACGACTCGAACTTCAACTGTAAATAATATTAAAAAAAAACTTTTAAGATAGTTCACAAAATATGTTGGCGTACATACATTGTCAAATCATATGTACTACAGTGCACATACATATGTATGTATCTAAAATGTGATAACAACGTGACTATCCCAGTAGAAACCTTAAGCATACAACATCGCTGTTGGTGGCATGAGCTTGCTGCTGTGTATACATGCCAGTATAAATCAACCTTCATTTCCATTTAACACGCGTGGTTTCTCAGAGCGTATGCGTACCTTAATCATACACTTGTTCTACTGCTGTATGCATATGGCTGAATTAATATTTCAAACATACAAAAATGCATTAATGGAACAGTATTAAAGCATTCTTACAAGATCCCCATACGTAAATGCTACTTTTCTGATACATTTTAATATACGGGGACATACAAGCAAGTAGCACTTACATATCGATGGCTGAGTGGAAGATCGACCTATCTCGGCAGCCAGAAAACGCTCTATCTCAAAAAACTTTTCAAGAACGCCCTATTTCAGAATTCGTTTCAAAAACGCCCTATCTCAGCGGCCGATTCAAAAACGCCCTATATCAGCTTATTTTCAATACATTTTGAAGTGAGATAGGGCGTTTTTGAACCGAATTTTTAAATAGGGTGTTTTTCAATTAAATTCTGAAATAGGACGTTCTTGAAAAGTTTTTTGAGATAGAGCGCTTTCCAACTGGCTGCCGAGATATGTCGATCTTCCACTCAGCCATCGATATGCAAATGCATATCTTGTAAAAGCCCGTTTGTGCTGAAAATAGTATCGCACAACACGTTCGTTGACTAAAATTTTTGTACAAGACTGAAAATATTACAAAAATTCCACTTCAAATTTATCACGAAATGTACTTAAAACAACGACAACGTACATTCGCTTGCAATTCGCTAGAATTTGAATTTATTCGTGGAAATTCATGACTACGCATGAATTGTTCACACTAACACCCGATTTACATGATTCAACTACTTGAAAGCAATTCTTGCTCATTCTCTTTTGTGTTTTCTATTTGCTTTTACACGTTTCAATTCTGTTGAATTCGAGTTTTTGGTTCTTTAAGACTGTGTTTATACAGGGAAACTTTTGTCGACGCGATTTTTCACATTCCCTTTTGGTGTTGCTCATTTCATTTACACACGACAATTTTTGTGTATGCAATTGTTGTTGTCAGCTGTGAACCGCTAACTCAATTTACACAGACGAACGAGAGCACAAAGCGTGTTGCCCGAGCACGAGCAACTCGGTGCCCCTCTCCTTTCCTCGTCACGCTCTCTCCTACAAACGTCGAGTTGCGGCAACAAAAATCGCCGTGTGTAAATGGGCACTAAACGGCAAGCAACGAAAATGCCAAAAGCAAAGCAAGAAAGTTGAAACGACTTGACGGTACAGCCGCATGTGTACTCGTCCCTTTTCTTCTCACCCCCTCTCTTCCACATGCGAGCAGAATTGAATTCAATACTTGAACTGTGTAAAAGCAGTCTAATTCACTCATATAGCAAGCATCCTTCAAGAATGCATACAACCGATTTCTACTGGGATGATACTGTCTGATTACCCTGTAGGAAAAACAGCCAGTTGCGAAGAAGTGATCTTCCTATATATTAAAATGCGAAGGCGTTTATTCAAAAATATGCAA